TCAAGGCAGAAGACCACCATCCGGCCGCGTGATAGTAGCAAGGACAAATAACTGGTAGCCCTAAGGACCTGTAGGTTGTCTCATGGCGAACCTTTTTTACATCTTTATGTACTTTGCAACGATCTCACCTTTCCTCAAGTCAGAACGTTTCTGAAGGCCGAGCGCATTTCGTTTTACAGTGTGGATCCGGGTTCTATACACGACCCCGGATAAGACAAGAACATCGGATTTATACAAAGATTTCCGTCTTACTGACAACTGTTTACTCGTTTTAGCAATGATTACTAACCAACCATACAGCCCTGCAACAAAGATTATAAGCCTATAATGTCTGAATTAATCTCATTGTGGAGACATCTTCTCTCTTCGTATTTCTCTTTTTTTGACGTAAATACGTCTATAAGGAAGGGTCATTCGGCAAAAATGTGTTACGAAAAAGGGAAACGAAAAAGTGTAACTTTATTGTTATGTTACCTAGGAAACCTCATCTGTTTACTCGGCATTGTTGTTACCTAGGAAACGTCATCTGTTTGCTCGGCATTGTTGTTACCTATAAAACATTACATTACATTACCTTACCTTACCTTACCTTACCTTACTTTACTTTACCTTACCTTACCTTACCTTACCTTACCTTACATTATATTACTTTACATTACATTCATCTACCACAGACCCATCTTAAGCGTAACTAATTCAAGTTGATTAAGCAATGTCTTAATCAAACTTATCTCAATTGTGAAGCATGTATAAAGGAAATATTTAGAATAAAGCCAATATATAAACTTCCTTTCCGTAAAGACGTATTTACGTCAAATTCTCCGGAACCGTGGTTCCACTATCACTTTTTGCGAAATTTTTGAGGTAATGGAATGCTTTCGTAACTTTCTGCCTGTAACTGTGGAATGAAGATTAGCAAGACTCAAAATGCAAGAAGGAGAATTAATTTATTCTGAGGGCAAGGGTCAGGAATTATTCTTAGTCATGGCACCCAAACTATAGAGTAGTGGTATTCAACCTTTTTTGTTCGCGTACCCCCAAATATAATTGTACCCCCAAAGTTGTTGGTGTATAATTCAAGTTATACATAGTATATAATCTACATCTGAAATAAATTACATTACTGATTATTCAGTGTTTATCATAAAATAATTTTTTTTTTAAATTTCACGTACCCCCTAAGATGTCTTCGCATACACCCGGGGGTACGCGTACCCCAGGTTGAATACCACTGCTACAGAGTGATGTTGAGGTCGCATATGGTGACTGAGCGAAGGCAGAGGCCTCTTGAAACATTCCCCAATCATCGAAAGTGATGTGTAGGCTGAAACGCTGATCTTCAAGTAGAAAGCTCTTACGATTCATATATTCTTGTCTCTTCTTTGATCGTTTTATTGGATCGGTGACGCTTCATAAGGAGGTTTGAGATTTCGAAAGCCTCTACTCAACATGTAATCTCAGGGTCTGATTCATATTAAGAAGGCTTCTAGTTCGAATGTAGGTTGTGTACTGACTGTTGTATCTTGTGATTCTATTCAATTTAATTAGGTAAAGTCGCCTTAATACAGTACATTCAAAATAAGTAACGTGTCACCTTATCAAGTTCTCCATAATCATTCTCACAAATTTATTTGTTTTTGATACCTTCTGCATTTGATGCTTTCCATTACATTAATATTCCACGAACAAACGAGGAACTCACTTATATTTTACATGGTGAATAATATCGTAATTTATGCATGTGGTAAATGTGCAGACCCTGACCTGATTACTGTGAAGGCCTCGTAATTACAGGCAAGTGCGAAACAGGGAAATTCAAGAAACATTTTAGATTTGTTGAACATGATGAATGTAGAGAAAAGCATGCATTCTCCATATCCAAAGTCTTCTTCTTAACAAAGAATGCCTTAATGGAATTTTCTTGGCGGTATCTGGTTTTATTATATTGATACCCGGTACCTTAATGTTTTCTTCGGACTGATGGGACAGGCTAGTCATAAACGAACTCACAATTATTTCATACATGACAATGGCGTCCCCTATAATGACTTTGAGCCTTGGCCGAGTCCTACCTGCCGTGATTAATCGGTGGGGAATTCCCAGCTGGGCCAAAGTTCATTCGTTAACCCTTGTTTCCCACGCGCTGTTGTGCCTTGACTTAAACTCAGCATATTTATGAAATGATAAATAACATGCTGCCAGTCATGTTTCCGTCCGTTGTAGGGAGAATTTGCTGCTCTTCGTCTTTTAAGTCCCAATTAACATTCATTAATATATATTATGATAACAGTTTTGTGAAAAATACGATTTAGCATTTCGCCTGCATCTCGTTATAACGACGAGAAATTCTATCTGTTTTATTAAAGTTCTAGTCCCTAATACTTACATTTGACGATATTAATTATACTCAATAACTTTTTGTGTTCGTTCACTTGTCACTTTTATACACACTTTCTATGTGTTTATCGAACTACGTGTTTCGGATGCATGCGCCCGTCTTCAGATGTAATATGTCTATGTAATTATTGTTCTTATATTTAAAAAAAAAACAAGAGTTTTGATTTCAGGGTCTGATTCATATTAAGAAGGCTTCTAGTTCGAATGTAGGTTGTGTACTGACTGTTGTATCTTGTGATTCTATTCAATTTAATTAGGTAAAGTCGCCTTAATACAGTACATTCAAAATAAGTAACGTGTCACCTTATCAAGTTCTCCATAATCATTCTCACAAATTTATTTGTTTTTGATACCTTCTGCATTTGATGCTTTCCATTACATTAATATTCCACGAACAAACGAGGAACTCACTTATATTTTACATGGTGAATAATATCGTAATTTATGCATGTGGTAAATGTGCAGACCCTGACCTGATTACTGTGAAGGCCTCGTAATTACAGGCAAGTGCGAAACAGGGAAATTCAAGAAACATTTTAGATTTGTTGAACATGATGAATGTAGAGAAAAGCATGCATTCTCCATATCCAAAGTCTTCTTCTTAACAAAGAATGCCTTAATGGAATTTTCTTGGCGGTATCTGGTTTTATTATATTGATACCCGGTACCTTAATGTTTTCTTCGGACTGATGGGACAGGCTAGTCATAAACGAACTCACAATTATTTCATACATGACAATGGCGTCCCCTATAATGACTTTGAGCCTTGGCCGAGTCCTACCTGCCGTGATTAATCGGTGGGGAATTCCCAGCTGGGCCAAAGTTCATTCGTTAACCCTTGTTTCCCACGCGCTGTTGTGCCTTGACTTAAACTCAGCATATTTATGAAATGATAAATAACATGCTGCCAGTCATGTTTCCGTCCGTTGTAGGGAGAATTTGCTGCTCTTCGTCTTTTAAGTCCCAATTAACATTCATTAATATATATTATGATAACAGTTTTGTGAAAAATACGATTTAGCATTTCGCCTGCATCTCGTTATAACGACGAGAAATTCTATCTGTTTTATTAAAGTTCTAGTCCCTAATACTTACATTTGACGATATTAATTATACTCAATAACTTTTTGTGTTCGTTCACTTGTCACTTTTATACACACTTTCTATGTGTTTATCGAACTACGTGTTTCGGATGCATGCGCCCGTCTTCAGATGTAATATGTCTATGTAATTATTGTTCTTATATTTAAAAAAAAAACAAGAGTTTTGATTATTCTTGTTAGTCAACTGATATAAAATAGTTTCCAAAATATTAAGATCTGATGATAAAATAATTTGATTACCAAAACTGTTGAATTTTTCTACATTTTATTGTACACGTGCTCCACCAGAAAAATTGAGGCACGAACCGCCATTGTGTTAATTTGTTATTTATTACAGTGGCTATGGGATAATAGTACTTTATTTGTATTACTGCAGTGTTATCTTACATCTGCATTCTTGATGACATGTTCTCGGCAATTATGAAGGAATTAACTGGGGAGAAAATAAAATTCTTTGTGACATCCTCGAAAATAAGAAGAGAATTATGTCTACTGTTTGAGAATTTCTACTAAATGTGATACAGCACCTTACAGAATTTATTCATTTATGTGTAAACCATTTAGAGTACTGGGTAAATGAGTTCCCTAAGAACAAAACGTCTGCCTGGCATTGGGAAGTTTTTAAAATCGCGTGATGGCGCCTCTGTAATGGTTAGTTGTTATTCAAACAATAGAACCGCTTTGTTACGGAATGAAGTACACTGGAAAATGTCGGAATTACTTCAGTACATCCCCCGTTTACAAGGTAGCGCTTATCGCTGCGTGTCTACAGACTAATCTTTTTCTGATAAGTGGTCACCTCATAATGGAAAGAGATGGGTAGAGGTTACGTAATTGGAATTATCAAAATGTCTTTCTCGGCTCTTATGTCATTCATAGGGTATTCACGTGTCAACTTGTTAGTAAGTGTTTTTGTAGTTCAATGCCTAACATTTTCGCTAGAATTCTTACGGAAACGATGCGAACGTTGTCATGAGAACTGCAAATCTAAACTATACCCGTTATCACTTTCAGCCCAAATGAACATTTCTTTTTATTTTTTGGTATAATTAGTGTAAATTATATTACATAAAATTATATTACATAAAATTATATCATATACTAGAAGTATTTTATATCAATTATATTGGTGATGGTGGGTGAACGATACAGAAAATTGTCCAAATGAATAACATTGAGAGAGTCGGGGAAATTTGCTGTAGTTTCTTGTTTTCTGTTACAAATTGAAGGGGGCATCGACCTCGGCTTCGCATCCAGCAAGCTTAGAACGTGGCTATACGGTGATTTACAATGCATGAAAGTTACATTAAACTCATCACAAGACGTTTGTAATTCACAGAAAATTCATTCAACACCAGCAACTTATTCTCTTGCGACCTTCGGTGATGTGTGTGTTTTTATTTGTGGTGGGGAGGAGGGGGTTGTTGATAAGAATGGAGAATTGTCAAGGCCTCCTTCCGCTGTACGTGATATGTGGTCGGAAATGTTTGCATTACGTAAATTGAAAACGGTTCCAAGCACTGATCGAAGATGTATCTGCTACGTATTTCCGTTTCCACACAAACTTCTTATCAACAAACTAACCGTAATACTTCCACGTTAACGAAACTATCCTGAGGGCCTTTCCCCTCAGGAAACGTTTTATCGTCGGTTTAACCTCGCTGGCCATTATCGCCTTGGCGATATAGTGAGTACCCCGCGTCCCGTCGCGTGCCGCGCGGGTGTTCCTGTCGGGGAACTACTGGAGCAGCGCCAGTCCGTACCTCTGTGCAACGGCGGTCGATGATATCAGTGAGCCCCAGCCGTTTTCGCTACCATTAGACAAGCAGCGGCCGCCTTCGACAGTTCTCTGACGGCTCCGGTACTAACATGGAGGATGAGTGCGAGAACACATCACAGACTTTCGTCGGCAATGCGAAGAAAATCGACTTGTCTATTAACAGCGGAGTCTTACGGGTTATTGGTAACAATAGTTTCGTGACTGTCACCAAAAACGTCGGCCAGATTATGATCATTGGCAACAAAGGACACGTGCAAGTGACTGAGAACACAGGCTTCATCGGTTATACTGGAAATAACGGATTGGTTGAAGTGGGCACAACGTCAAAAGGCATCGGACGAGTGGTCTACACTGGCAATGGAGGAAAGGTTAAACGAATGAAGACGAATGGAGTCATCGGAAAACGTGACGCAGAAAAAAGCAGTACCAAAAATCCACTTCCGCCAAAGCAAGAAGGACAACCGGCTAAAAAGACAGATGTGCAAAGTGAACTCAGAGTGAATAAGGTTGAAATGTGTATCAATTCAAAGTCAAAACAGGGCATTCATAAAGGAGTGACCAAGGAAAATATTAGTCCTGATAAGCTAAAAAGGACACCGATGCCTCAGGTAGGCACCTGTTATGAAGTGAAAAATGTCTGGCGGCAGGCATCCAGTAAAAGCGACGAACAGAAGAAGGCGAAGATTAAAACGATTAAAACGTCGCGTCGGAAAATCATTCAGGTGTCCAACTTATCGAACTTCGAACTCGAGAATTGGTGTTTGAACCTGGCAGCTGAACTTATTGCTTTGCATGATTAGTCGAGGAAAGTTGTCAGAAACTGTGATTTCTTTCTTCCTTAAAATGCGTGAAAGTTCCTAAATAAATGCACCTACCTTAATATATTCTGTTATACTGGTAGTGATCGAAATGCCAGCCTCGGTGTTTAACAGTATTAATGTTTCCAGAGATAATCTCTCGCCGTTGTTCCTAAATATTTCGTAAGTACAACTGTCCCGACTATGCGGCACAAAATGTTTGTGTGAGTATGGAACGGTAGGCTGATTGTATTTTTAAATGTACGATGGAACTTTGCTTTTCAAAAGAAACAGGGTATTTCACTCAGTATTAACAGAAAAGGACAGCTCACGTGTGACAGCGCTACCTCACTCTCAAATTTCAAACAATCAATTGCTGACTTTGTAAGCATATCAAAACAGTTTTTGTCTTTTGATAATGGTCTCCCTAATCAGTGCTCGGTTGACAGAACTAAGTACTCATTATATAACTTATTTATTTAATTTTGATTAAATAATTTATTCATAGCCAGTTTTCACAAATTTTAGTGACCTTTATTCAAATTCACTAAAAGATAATGATTTGCATTTAATTTCTTGGATTTGATATGTTTACAAATAGGCCTATAAATGCATTTTTATAAGTACCTGTAGTTAATTATTCTGGGTATTTCATTGTGTTCAATTTTATGAATGTGACATGTCTAAGTTAATGCTTTCATGAGAAGTACATCTTATGTGACTGATTTAATTTATTTACGGAATTATCCGTCCATAATTTTGTAGACTAAATAAGAGTCGTTTTCGAGAATTATAATAGTAATTAAACAGATTTCGGTGCTTTTGTTTGCGATAATAACTGCCCTCTGGAATAGAGGCTCTTTAAAATGTTAAACAATTTTCTCTTGTAATCACAGTTTGTACCCACCGAATTAATTGTTTTGTGTTCCCGTATTTTATGTGTAGTTTGAATGAACTTGCCAATATATCAGACTGACATTAAACTTTATTCATCAGCTACATTATTATATTAGTGTGGAACCTTCAAATGCCTCTAATTTCCTTCCATTATAATGTTCCTTATATTTCATTAGGGGAAAAATGGATAAGGATGGGACTTGTTAAAGTACTGGAGTTGCAGTCAATGAAGTCCAGGCGACATGTCAAATTACTGATATTACAAAAAAATCATTGCCAAGATCTTTATGTAGTCTCTTTTGATTGTACGAACTGAACTGAAGTGTGACCTATGTATGGTGACTGAGGAAAAGCTCTCGCCCTTCGTCTAAAAGACTTGTAGTCAACGTAGCCATCCTCGGGCGGGATTGGCAGTAAGGAGTGAAAGGGGTGTGAGATTTAAAGCGGTCGCTGTCTGCAGTCCGCCAACCCCACTATCACCATCTTTGTCTGCAGTACCTCATGAAACAACTCACCCCACCTCATACTACCTGATTTGATCACACAAATAATATTTAATGAGTGAAGCTCCTCGTTATGTAATTTTCTCAATTCTCCTTCTCCGTAGAACCTAGTTCTCAAATAGCCTCAATTTGTGTTTTTAATTGCTAATGTTGAATTTGTTTCTCACATACGTGGGGACCAGGTTAGAGTCCGAACCATTAAAATGAATGGCGCTTGTGGCCACACTCTCTGATCACTAATGCCGGGTTTAAATGTGATTGTTTTTTTTCCTAGAATATCTGAAAAATCTGGAACATTTCTCTCAGTCTCAGTCCTGAGAGAACGAGACCATTGCCTTGAACTAGACTGTGGTCCACGCTTATTGCAGACAGAATGACACTAACCCAAGAGTGTGAAAACTTGTTTCTAAAGCAGTTAATGTAACGTTATGTTATCTAATCCTCGTTGATGTCTAATTTATACCGAATAGTTGTAACACTGGTCCCATAGAAATATCTTGAGTTCTTGTGTCTTATGAATGGCATTCTAAAAAGTTATTGATCGTCTTGTGATTCACCAGCAGATTAGTAGTGGATTAGAAACTGCACTGATTCGTATTGCATTAATGATGTATTAGTTGTAGGCTAAAGCCTTCCATTTATATGAACGTCACACATGATAACTCATAATTTTGACGGCTTAAATTACAAAATTCTTCTTAGATAAGTTTGAAGCATTCTACGAATCAAAATTTCGCAAATATGAGGCCAACTAGGGTGATCAAATCATTATAAAGTGATTAATGAACTGGAAACGATGTGGAACCAAGCGGTCGTGGCCATATTTAAGGTACTATTCCGGTATCTGCTTGAAGGGACTGAGAAAACCACGAAAAACATCAGCCAGGGTAACCGGTTTCCGGGCCGAGATACAAGCTAGGAGCTCCCGAATACTGAACATGAGTGCTAACTATTCGGTTGGACTGGATTCAGCTGGCTTACTGTTGGGTCTAATGGCGAGATCTTGTGAATATGGAAATGAACTTTCCGATGACAGTTTCCTACTTTTCCTTAAATTCAGCTCAGAGTAACCTGTCCCTGGGCATGTGGCCCGCATGGGACAAGAGAAATGCAAATAGGGGTTGATGGGAAAACTAGAAGTAAATAAACCACTGGAAAGACCTAGACGTAGGTGGGAGGATATTATTAAAATGGATATTGGAGAAATAGGATAGGTAGTATGGACTGGATTCATCTGGCTCAGGAACGGGGCCAGTGGCGGGCTCTTGTGAACACGGTAATGAATCTTCGGGTACCATAAAATGTTGGGAATTTCATGAGGGGCAGTGCGACTATTCGCTCCGCAGGAAGGATTCGGCTCCTTGGAAAAAATACGTACGTAGCCTGTCCCTGCTTTACGCTGATTCGAGCCATGAGGATGACCATACTTGGAGCTCGAGGCTGAACTCTCAGCCTTCTACACAAAGCAGGTTGGCTGACCATGGCTTTACGAGCGCACTGATCCAACATGACTGTTAATGGAAAGCAGGGAAGTAAATATGCAAACGCTTTGACGTCTGTATTAAATCGCAGGTGTTATTTGCGGGATCAGAACATAATGAATAAATCTGTTGCCATCAGCAATATAATGCTTCTAAAGAAACTTATTTTATAAACGTTATGTTTTTATTTCGTTCCCCTGTTTTCACAGTCTTCGGTAGTAGCTCTACGACTCGCAGAACATATGCGGACCGCAGAACTAGTTTTAAACAAACCTAGGTCTTTGACCATTTCATTATATTCGATTGTCAATTGAATAAACAGATGTTTAAAATACTGTAAAGCGGGAATAGGTTCTGCTTTAAAGACATTATCGCCCGCGGTATATCCGATTTCGCGGAAAACGAGTGTCTGCTACATCGATAATCCACTTCACATTTCTCTTACTAAACTTCAAACCTCAGCAACTGATACAGTATTGTTACACTATCTACGAAATAAGTGTTAGGCGAGGAAGCCCTTATGAGATGTGAGACAAACAACTCCGCTCATTTGTTGTGACGTAGGCGACCTCCGAGCGACGTTCTGTTTAGACAGCCGCTGCCTAGCGCCACCAATCAGACGTCGTGCCCCGGCTCTGAGTCGAATCAGGGTCATCTGCCATGCTTGTGTGACGAAAGTGGGGGAGGTAGACCGTCGTCAACTACTGTTTGTCGGTGTATGATCATTTCTCAAATACAAAATACGGTTCCTCAGAAAACCAAACCAATTTCTCTTCTGATTAAGGTCGACATGAGCAATATGGCGCCCGGACGTATCATCTTGCGAAGACCGGAATGTAGGTCAGGATAGCGGCTTCTGTGCTTGTCGTGGATGAGGCACCAGAGGATAGATCGAGGAGTACAAGAAGAATAAGAGGTCACCGACCTTTTCATGTGGCTCAGAGCACAAAACGGATCCGAAAAGTCGAACGAACTCGAAACGAGAACTGTTTTTAAACTTCCTGGTGGACAATGTATAGCGGTAAAATGTATCAGCATAAAGTGAGAAGTGCGTGGAATTCTTAGGGTCACCGGGAAGTAATAAGTGATGTGTCGTGTCTATCATGTCAAAGTTTTCTTACCTCTAAGACGCGATAGGGTGACTGCAGATTCAGAGGGCCACGTGCCGAAGAGAGAAAAAGTGAAAGAGGGGCGGAGGTAGTTAATTAATTGTATTATATTCTTTACCACATATTATTAGGGTAAAGAAAACAAGGAGAATGGATCGGCTGAAAATGTTGAAGACATGGGGAGATGAGAAATTAATACCTTTTAGTCACATCCTGAAGGGAAAAGACCAATTGGTACAAGTAGATATGAAAATATTCAAATGAATCTTAAACAGGGCGAATGTGTGGTGGACTGGATTCAGGTGGCTAAGGATAACATTCAGTGACGGATTCTTGTGAATATGGGAACGAACCTTCGAGTTCGATAAAGATCGGGGAATTTCCTGACCAATTGTGCATACGTCAACAAGAACTCTGCTCATTGGAGTTCTTTAACCTGTAGATTGTCCCGAATTCGTAGAGTGGAATTTTGTTTTGGGTTTTGCCATATCAAAATTACAAGATGTGCTTTTGCTGGCCCGCCCTTCATATTCGTTGAATTTGTTGATAGAACAGTGTACTGCCTTTCTTTTTCGTTACGTTGGTTTGATTAACGCAAAACAGTCGTGTTTAGGTGTGGCCATGTCTGCAATTTTTAACCCCTTGCAGTTTTAAGATTTATTTTTTTAGCTGTGGGTACCGGGGGTCTTTTCACGTGTGTAAAGCGGTTGGTGTATGAGTCTGACCATCTTCATCCAGTGCCGAGGTCTAGAATGTATGGCGCTTGACCTTCACTCCTCCTATGCTCCTTCATGGCGTGTTATAATGTTGCAGAGAGACAGGGGAACATAATTTTACCCTAACATTTGCAGCGTCATACTAACAGAGGAGGATTGTGTTTGAATGTTCATATTTATCTGACGTTATGAACCTCAAATAAAAGAATATTTATGATTTGAAGCCCACTGAGAAAGGTATTAGGACGTAATCCCACCTCATCGAACTCTTGTTAGGCCTACAAAATTCTTGTGAAGTGAGATTGTCCGGTCTCCTGTGGTGAGATGATCCTTCCATTAAAAGTAAAAACAAACGAGGTGTGGTTTCTCGCACGAATCTCATGTCATATGAACAAAAAAATGGTTCCTTTTACCGTGGCTCTCTGCTGTGTGCAGAGCATTGTCCGAGTCATTGAGGTGAGACGGATAAGACGAAACAGGACGAGACCAACGGGTAGAAAGCGTATCTCCTGCGTAAGTCACAATTAGCAACAAAAAAATTGGCCCTTTAGTGAAGTTGCGCCAAATCAGCTGCTCATTCTGATTATACCACAGGATCATTAGAAGTCACAGATTATCACATTGAATGTCTGGCTGTTCCAAATTTTTAATATTTTATTCCATAATACCATTCGGAGTAACGTATTGCTTGCATCTTCAAGATGAAGTGGTACTTTATTTTTCTTTGAGTTCTTCAGTTTTCTTTTCATAATTATCATTCCACTATTGCTCCTTACTCATCTATCATCACTTCATGAGGTGTGCGATGGCCTTGACAAAGCAGTACATTATCATAACCCCCGTCGAAGGTTATGGGCTTTATCTCTGACCTGGCACGTGACTGGTCTCAGAGTAAACGCAGTGCGGGTTATATTTCACTGATTATTTCCACATTAGAAAGTTTTTAAGTATTTGAAGTCTAAATTCAACCGGTGCCTTTTTGATAGGTTATCAGCAATCATTTCAAAATAAATGCCGAAGTCCATTAAATCAGTGTGTGTGTTTATAATGTCTTGAGATAAGTAGTATTTAACGTGCTAGACATAGTGGTCCAACAGAGGTTGTTTTTCAGTTATATAAAGTAAGAATACTGAGGCAACTATATAGTTTATACTAATGAGTTGATAATGCCTTTATTTGGGTTGCTAGTTTGATATATTTTTTGTAGAATTGTGCTTTATAAGCTTTAGATATTGAAACATTACAAATTCTGGCAGTTCAAAACAAAGGAATCCTTGCAGCTTTTTAAATGTAAAATTTCCATCATTCATATGTTCTGCTCTGTGATAAAGAATTGTATTAAAATTGTTCTTGGTGCCCAATGGAGTGTGTAACCAGGGTTTGAATTCGTAGTAGGGACATGGGAGTTTTTCTTCATAGTTTATTATTAAAATTAAATATAGTGTTCTGTGTCATGTGGGGCTGGCCAACAGGATACTCAATACAGCTTGTGTCATATCAACTGAAAAGAAGAAAATTAAAACAGTAGTCATCTTGAAATTTACAGTGAGATTAATTTATAGTTTATTAGAGAAATTTATTTTAGATTTCTGTACATTATTATGCATGATTTTCTTGTCTGTAGCTTTCACAACTGTAAAAATTGGCCAACCCTGCTCAAGAACATCAGAAAACAAACTTTATTTCACTTGTACATATAATATATACAGTCTGAATTGCTTTATAAATTAATTTTCATGGCTTATTGTCACTGAAACAAATTAACCTATATTCTTCCTTAAGTGTTTACTAAGATGATTGTAACTAATAACAGTGACAGAGAATGTGGTTAATGGTCAGCTGGGTTGTTGCAATGAGCAGCCTTCTGGTTCTATGCCAATGTTCTGAAGGGACATGCAGCTTTCATCTTCAGGACTGAAGTGAGGGGGATTAGGGGATTGATGGATTATATGGTACTAGGTAGAAGATTAGGCCTCACATCTACCCTGAAGATGGCTGAAACAATGGTATGCAACAAAATGACTACATGGTGCAACAACCCAGAAGACCATCACCATCAAAGTTTACAGTGCTATGAAAACTACAAATTCGAAAGGTCAGAATTGCTTACATTTACTCATATTTCAGTTAACACTATTCATTGCATCAACAATTATAACTCGTAATCTAAATCACCCCATTTTTTCAAAAAGAAGTGTCACTGCCCATGTGTTTCTCTATACTGTATACAGATTTCATGTAAGCACATGCACTAACTTAAGACTTGCAAGTCAAATTAAATTCAGTAAGTGAAGTATTATGAACATAATTATGGAATGAATGTATTATATTGCTTAAAAATACTGTCACATTATTTCAAGACCTAAATTAGTTTTTGTCCACAAGAAAAACCTATATTGTTAAATGCCTGTAAAATGACTTCAAATAAGAACCATGCTCTTGCAAAATACTTTTTTGTAGAATGAAGATTTCTGTGTTTCAAGGAAACTTTCACTTATTATTCTTCCGCACAATCTATATATTGGAACCTTTACCTTCCGAGTTGTCATTCTTTACCCTGAGACATATTCCTTTTCTTCACAATTGAGAAACACAACATTTAGATTAAATCAGTGTAATCCACCTTTTTTCATTCTCTCAGGCCATGAAGCACCTCCTGTCATAATTTTTGAAAACTAATATCCAGTTTTCATTATCTTTAATGATGTTTATTCAGAAATAACAAATATAAATTTTATTAAAATGTGTACATATTAATATAGAGTTACAGATTATTTTACATTTTTTTCCTGCAGCAGCTTGCATCTAAAATAATTTTTACTTAAAACACTTGCATCTTGTGGTAGGGATTTTAGTCGATAGCATGCGTCACACTTATACATAAAGCAGCAGACGAGATAACAAACACAACTTTCTTCTCAAATCCTTTGGTGTAAAGAAAATACAAGATGTTGTAATAACCGGAAACAAACAATTTTGTCACCCTAGTTATGAGTGACCTTGAGATGACAGTTGGACCACACTGCTCTAAGTTGCATTCACTAACTCAGTGGTATTCAACCTTTTTTGTTCGCGTACCCCCAGATATAATTTCTCTTCAACTTTGTACCCCCAAAGTTGTTGGTGTATAATTCAAGTTATACATAGTATATAATCTACATCTAAAATAAATTAAATAAATTACATTACTGATTATTCAGTGTTTATCATAACATATTTTTTTTAAATTTCACATGCCCCTAAGATGTCTTCACGTACCCCAGGTTGAATACCACTGCTCTAACTGATGATGATCTTTCACTCACCATCACCTACTAACACTTCCAGAAATTCTACTGCATTTCTTGTCCTAACTCGCAGAACCTTCTACTTAACCTTCTAATATTCTTAAACTGCAAAACCAATCCTGTACATCCTGACTCATAATATTGTCACAATAATTCTTTCCCCTCGTCCAAGGAGTCCTACCGAATGTCTATAGATCGAGCCAACAAAAAGTTGGAACCTGCAGTGCTCAGGCACTTGAAGAACGGGTCATTCCCAGTATAATTCTTTCCCACCTTGTTTTTAGTACACCAGTATGTGGAGCCATGCCATAAATTAGGTAATTAGTTGCTGGTATCTCACTGTAGAGGCCAGGGTTCAGACCCAGGTCAGTCCATGTAGGATTTGTGGTGGAAAAAGTGACACTGGGACAGGTTCTTCTCCAAGTCCTTCAGTTTTTCCTTGTCAGTATCATTCCATATTCACTCATATATCATCTAGGGGATGTACAGAGTTCTTACCCCATTGCAACAACAATACCAACATGTCATGCCTTCTACAATGATAAACAAAACTTAAACCATCCTTGTCTAACTACATCATTCGTCATTGAATCATCACCATTCCCAGAACCTGATCCATGTCCATCTATAATTAGTTCCACTACCTTCATTTGATTTGTACTGAATGGGTGGTACACATCCGACACTGAATGCAGTAGTTGGGAATTGACCTATGCTATTGATGCCATTGCCTTTCCACACCCTTTTCTCTAAAAGTTCAACTGCCTGATTAGAATACAAAACAAAATAGATTTATTTTTTTCATTCTTTCAGTTCATGGTGTGGATGGACTATCAGGTATTCTGTCAGTGTCTCTTCAATCATCATTCTGGTAAGTGATCAAATCTTACACCCAGCTACTTTTATAAATAGTTTTAGTTACCAGATCAGAGAAATCTAACATAACTCAAACGTAACACTTCATGTGTTTCTACAGTATGATTTTGTGAGGCAGAATGCAATCTCTGATTGATTTTTTACCCAGAAATAGTCAGTCTGTAACAGCATTTAACACATACATGGTCACGGCAATCTCATTTTCTGTTTTAGAATGGGCCAAGACTACAGTGTAAAGTTGCATTCTAAGAATCCTTGTTTGACATACAGATAGGGCTAATATAACAATTTGTGCAGTGAGAACTACTTATTAGAAAATAAGTTTGTGAAGAAATTGTAGCAGATAGAAATACTGCAATGTGCTTAACATCAAATCTCACCTATCATCTTAGTTTATTTAACTACACTTTCAATAACTCAGACTATATAGTGTCAAATGAGAGGATGAATAATGAATCGGAAAGGATGTGGGAGTAAGTGGTCATGACATAATTTAAGATTATATCCCAACATTTGTCTGAAGGGACCGAGGAAACCCATGAAAAACACTCAGGATAGTCAGCCTCTGTCCTGAGATTTGAACCTAGGACCTCCTGTATATGAAGCAGGAGTGCTTACTACTCAACCATGATGTATGGTTTCTCTCTTGGATTTTACATGGAAAGATTGATGGAAACAATGTCAAGATGATGTTTGTGTTCCTCTGCCCCTTGTCTCGTCAGTGTAAGATACGTGTAACACGAATGCTAAGCCCTTCCCGATTTTGCCATCCTTTAACCTTGAGAAAGAAGTAGAGATCTGAAATGCTGAGGTTAATAAAATTATGTAATCATATGTAATAATGAAAACAGCATTAGGATGCGAGCATTTTTCTCAGTGCATATGTACTTATTATAGTGAAAAACAATGAACAATCCACTCATGACAACGGCTTCCTCTTTGTAACATATATTTCTGACTGTGGTATTAGATAATGCTAGTGTGTGCAAAGTTCTTGTTATTGGCAGTAAAAGTACCACTGGATTTCTTCTTCTCTTCCTTCTCTCTTTTGGTTGCCATTTCATAGTCTTTTTTGGTAACCTTTCCCCCTCTATCCTTTGCACGTGTTCGTACCAAATCAGTTGTCTTTTCTCTAGCTCCTCAATTATATCTCGGTCCACCCTCATGATTTCTCTAATCCTTTCATTTCTCTCTCTCTCTCTTCTGGATATTCCAGCCGCTCTTCTTAGTAAATCCATTTCCATTATTCTCAACTTATTTTTTTTTTGTTCTGAGAGTTGCCAAATTTCTGCTCCATAAAGAGCCACGCTTTGTACCATCGTTTTATATATTCCGAAGCTTATTTTTATTAGGATTTTTTTAGCATTTTAGTTTTTTCCGACGGATGAGGAGCTGGCCCACCGCATCAACCCCCAACCTGGAGGACCAGGTGATTGGATTTTCCATACATAAATAATAATAGCAGGATTCCACAGTGTGCTTTCATTTCTCACCTAATGTAATTTGCATATAAAATACAAACATTGCTTTCTCGTAACTGTTTGAGTTCACTGCATTACCACTATTGACAACAAGAGGCCTGTAAATCAATCACAAAAATCAATATCTTCTAATAGAACATATTTCTTTAAGGTTAAAGGAAAATACAAAGAAGCGATCTTTTCGCAAACTCTCTCTCCCATTTGCGCTCTGATTACCAATCGACATAGTTCAGTTAGTCTCATTGGATTAAATTTCATATAGGTTAGCCAATCCCGTAAATTATCCATTGACAGTGCCTTTGATTTTGGCGGTGGTTGGAGATCAGGAGTACAATGTTGAAGATCAAAACCAGCATAAACTATCATCTGAGCCAAACGGAAGTTGTTTCGTTTTCTAGCCAGACAAAGGTTGTCTACTACACATGATCCTACATCACAGAGGTTCACGTCAGTTCCATGGCGAATCAGAAGCGCTGCTGCTCTATCTTTCTCCAAGAGAATTGCTCTAAATAATGGAGTGTCACCACCGGTACATGTCTGCACATTCAAAACTGCTCCATATGATCGCAAGATATGGAACATTGACTCAAAAGTAGAGTACTTTGATTCACGGATGAATTCCACTGCCTCATGCAATGGCATGCTTCCAGTTAAAGCATTTGGATAATTTACAGCTGCACCTGTGGAAAATATTTAATAATCAAATGTGTGAAAAATTACAATATATCTGAAGAAATTAATGAATAACTATGCCAATGCCTCTGTGATATGAGGGCATGTATACTGGAGACTGTCTTCACTTCAAGTAAATGTGACATATTATAAAGAACAAAATGGTCCACATTTACAGTAAAAATGGTTAGTGCTGAATTTTTATACAATTTCAGATATTTTAAAGGAATTGATTTTTGTATTAAAAGTTTAATTTACAGAATTAAATAACTATAGTTTTGAATTTAATCTTTGTAGCCTCAAACCATCTAATAAATAATTCATACAACTGAGAGGAAAACAATAAACAAATAAATAACCATGAAAATATGCAAAAGTTAGTGAAGTTATGCTAGGAACAAATAAATAATTAAAAAAAGGGAATGCAATGGACACGTGATGAAGGGTGAAAACTGTAACAATAGGCTAAGTGGAACTAAAATAAAATTGAGATCAATATGATAGGCAAAGAGAGATGCAAGAATCCAGTAAAAAATTATGAGGATAAATGAAAGAATGCTGAACAGGAGTGTTTATGGGAGGACAAGGATGAATGGAAAAGGCTGTGTAACAGAATGCAGAAGACTAATGGAGAAAAATAAGTCTCAAATAAAAAATGCATAAGCAAGTGTTTCTGGATATAAATTGTTTGAAGTGGGTGATAAATATTTGCCAAAACTCAGAACTTTGTAATTTCTTGACACCACAAAATAGTAGCTACCTTAAAATGAAAATTATTAAAAGTGGTAGGAAGAGGTTTTAAATATGCAAATAAACATAATAATTTTTCATTAAGAATATACCATTCCTAAGCAAGAGTTCTGCAAGTTGGCACACCCCTGTCCTAGCAGCAACAATCAGGGGTGAATCACCATTGTCATCACGCAAATTCACAATTGATCCAGCTTTCAGAAGCAGTTCAGCCATTTCAATATGCCTGTGCATGATGGCATAATGAAGAAGGAAATGAGACTGAGTTATCTTAGCACCAGCATCCAATAACATCTGGACCATGGGCACCACCTTCTGCCACACTGCTTCACAGAGTGGAGTATAACCTGAAATAAAATCATTCATGTTTGTCTTATGGGCAGTTTGTTCAATCAAGATACAAATCTGCACTATATAAAACGATTTCATGCGTTTAGATTTGCTTGCCCTCTATTTAAATGGCAGCAGACCTCATGGAAAGCATTCCAAATAACGTACAATGTAGCATGACTTATTTTATATTTTTTCTTCTGTAACAACATATTTTTGATGGAAGGATATGAAGATCCAAAGGGAAAAAGAAAAGGAAGAAATGTGGAGAGGATTGATGATAGTAGTGACAAGTGAAAGAAACAGGAAAGGAGTATGGGAGAAAGAAGATCAGGAAATAAAATTGTGAAAGGGAAAAAGGAAAATTACAAAGTGGGTCAGAAAGAAGGAATTCCTCTTTGAATTTAACTGGGATTTTTATATTAGTATATTATTTACTTTTGATAGTCAAAACAGTTTAACAGATAATGGAATCATACCATGAATTTCCTCAATATTAACTTTGGCCCCATGCTTGATAAGAAGTGCAACAACATCATCATGTCCTCGTAATACAGCAAGTATCAGTGGTGTACGATCAGATGCATCTAAGGAGTCAATGTTTGCACCACCATCCAACAACATTCTGACAGTATCGATAAAACCTCGTGTTGCAGCAATGTGTAATGCAGAAGTCTTATCACTTGTTTTACGATTAACTTCGACACCTGCAGTGAGTAGCATTTTTACAACTGTATAATGGTCCCGAGCAGCAGCAAGATGAAGAGGGGTCAGGTTATCAGAATCCCCAATATCCAATCGACATCCTGCAGGAATAGATCACATAATGTAAATATGAAATATTCTTGTTGTATGTGGATTGTGGTTTTCGGGGTTACTATGCCTTCTTGTTTTACCAACATTCCTCAAAAATGTTACATACAGAACTGCATGGCATCACAACCTAAAAGACCAGAGTCCACATTTGCACTGCCATAAAACTTCAAATCTCAATATTCTTGGTCTATTTTACCAACACTACACATTCTACTAGAAATTAAAATAAAAATGTTATTGAATTCTCAATTTTATTATCTTACAGTACATATTTTAATGTAAACTAACATAAAATCTGCCATTAATCTATTTAATGATGAAAGTTAAAATGTTAATACCTGTCACTACTGCTTTTTCTTTGCATCAGGAATGTACAGTACAGAGAAGGGTATAACTGGGCAATTATAAATGTAACAGGACTGTTTCTGACCTGCTAGAAGTTCCAAAAAGTAGCAAAGGACATGCTGGTCACTGAAGACTTCAAATATAGAACCTAGGTTGCTGGTGAATCACTGATTCAAAACAATCATGCCATTATGGTTGCTCCACATATAACCAGCTCAATTATAATGTAAGAACAGTACAAACTGAAAGTATTTTCTAAACAATCCATTATATTCATGGTATTATGATTTCATTTTCATGGTGACTGAATGCAATGAAGTATTGTTGGGTGGGATCGCCTGAGAAAACTTCACTGCATTTATTCTCCAATTCAATCGACATCAAGCATACTCATAAAACAGTGATAACATTTTTTCATTATCTGAATACATGTTTGATGATCAGAACAAATTATAAACTCAGATTTATTAAATGTCATACCAAATGAAACATATGACTACCTGCTGCTGTTAACAAATGTAAGGCATCCACATGCCCTTGTTCTGCAGCATAATGCACAGCACATCTCCCATAAACATCCTGATGGTTCACGTCACAGTGCTGGGGCAACTGGAGAAGAGAACTGGTGCGATCCAGGATGTCAGCATACCAGCGATAGAGGGAAGCCCATGAATCATCCTCTTCTCCCCCCTCACTACTCTTTTCCTTGTCTTCAACCTCAACATCCCATTCCAGCCTATCCATTCCATCAGGTGTCCGATCATCATTAAGAGCGCTCGCAGATATTTCATTACTCTGCACTCCAACACAAGAACTAGCACATTCATTCATGTCCTGATTCCAGTTCTCATCGAATGTATGCTTTAAATTCTCTTCCTCCTTACTATTTGGGGAATGGAGTGCACTCCTATCTTTGTGAACCACAATAAAATAACCCAAATTTTGTGTTTTGCTTGAAGGATTACTTAAATCCATCATTGTAGAGTCTAATCCCAAATCAGAGGTAAGGTCAAGAGAACCCTGTTTTCTCGCAACTTCACTGTTCACATCCTGGCAAGCAGCACCAATATTAGTTGTTTTACTTGATAAATTATCCTTATGCCCAAATGCACCTGCATGTTTTCTTGAACTATTAGTGTGAGGGTAGTCATGCCTGTTCTTCTTACTCCTGTACTTTAAATGATGATGATTTCCCTGCTCTTGTTTATAGAAGTTTTCAGAAAGAGCAGCAGGGACATTAGCTGCATCTAGTAATATTTGTAAAATGGCCATGTTCCCCATTTGTGCTGCTGTTCCAAGAGGTGTCCTTCCTGATGAGCATACAATATTTACGTTTGCCCCTGGAAGGGAATTTGTAAACATAAACAGAAAATAGTGTAGAATAATCTACAAGTAGATCACTACATTTCTGTAGCTGGAATGTGCTCCTGTCTTCTGGTGAGGATTGACTATTCACATGGGTCTGCTAGAGAGGGTTAATTCCAATCTAGTGATTGAGCCTAGATATAAAAATAAAGTGTACTAGCAGTCTAGCACCAAGCTCCAGGTTGAAAGAAAAGGACATGAATCATAATATGAGGTATATAATCCTTTTCAAAAGAAGCAATAACAAGTGCTTTAAAAACTGAGTTTTTATTTTCCAACTTCAAATTTTAAAATCTGAAATTAAATTTTCATTATTTTATTATTTTCCTCTGTCATTAGGATTCTACATCAACTGTGACAAGTAAACAATAGCCACTTCCTAACTTGTCAATATTTCAAAGCTGGTGGAAGTGTAAAACTATACTCTATGTAGTTTAAGAGTCGTCACTTACTACAAGTACCTAAAAGTCAGAGCTCATCAACTGCTCTCATATCTGAATACGTAAGTGATTATGCTCATTTGCCGTCTTCAGTTTTAATTTAATTCCTAACAATTGATACGGAAGTTTTAATACTGGTGCAAACAATTTTGCATTCTGACTTATACACTTCCTTCTTTTATAAGTTTATTGAGAGGTGTCATCCCTATCTTGTTTTTGCAGGGGGGTTCACCTCCCTCCCCCTTAGGATATGCTGCCTATGTTTGGCATCACTGCTTTTAAAATATGCCTGGGTGGTCCAAAGGCACTTGACTTCAGCCTTTCTTTTACCAAAAGCAGTAAAACAAATCTATCCCAAATACACAAATATGACAAATGCTTCCCACAGTGCTCACAATTTCAGGTGCTGAAATCTGTTAAGTTACAGGTGGTTGAGTTTGGAAAAACTTTTTATGATGAACTACTTACCTTGGGCCAAAAGGCAGTTTACACAATTTGTGTCTCCTCTTGAAACTGCAGTAAAGAGCTGTTCTTCGAGTGAATCCATTATTCACCAGTCAACCTGAGTAAGTAATATTCAACTTAACACTACATAACTCAATACCTTTCATGGCAATGGATATATCAGTATTAATTCGAATATAAAATCTGATATTCATATATTACACACTAGTGGAAAAGATCCACTGAAATTCAACTAATTTCATGCTCCCTTTCTTCTTTTTCTTTTCCTCACCTTTATCTCCTTTAGAAGTAACTGTAAGACTCTGCATGGGTAGGCTACTTGTAACGTTCTACCATCTGACTTTATTATTGAACAGCTTGGTCAGTCATGCACAACATATATTCATAAACAGTAATCTATTATATTTAAACTGAAGCTGATGAGCACATCACAGCTGTCTCTAGCTGGGGCTCATTTCCCAGTTCAAAAACATGAGATTAGTAAAGGGAGGAGACATTTCTTCAAGTAAGTGAAGATACATACAAACTCACCAGTGAAATATTGAAGACACTTATTAAAAATGTGATGGTACTAAGTATTTTGACTGTTGTCACAGCATCAATATTAATGACTAAAAGTGTTATGAGGTACATGGACATGATAATGCTTTACACCATTTCTTACAAACAGAAGGTAAGTCGATATGATGAAATCTCCTAATATATATCATATGGGATTCATGTATATCTGTCCATTTATTCCATTGTAAGTTTACTGCGCTACATTTCTGTATAAAGGTTTTTCATTATATTTTGGTTTGAAGATTTCAAAGACTGCTATATATGAAATATGTCGTGTTACAAGATAACCTACCGTCAGTTGTTAATATGGTTTTACTTATAAGAGAGCCAGTCGAAATGTACAACATAATGTTTTGGGGTCGTTGACGACCCAGTATTGTTATTCTTCAGTTGAAGTGAAGTAATTATTTCACCAACTTCGGTTGCTGTAAATCGATACTACAATCGTCAACAACTATTCCGCTGCTCGATATGGCCTTTACAAATAGCCAACTTCTCGCAAGATAAAATGGCACACAACAACTAATTGTGCGGAATGTACGTGAATTTCTATTACTTTGGAACTTTAAAACAAACAATTGCTTCTAGTTTAGAACATTATTAAGTCCTCCATTTAATGAAGGTTATGTGGAAACGAAGTAGTGACAGTAGTAGTACATAGTGACATTTTTTGTTTTACAACCTTGGGCTTAATTTCCGTCATGGCGAGGAGTTGCAAGCTGTGAAGTTTTGTGAGAAGAGAAATGTTGTGTCCTGAAGTGTGGAATTTTTCTCCTCCTGCTTGTAATTTTAAATTCAAAAGAGGCAATTTTAACGAACTGAAAACCCAGTGCATTGATTTAATCGACTTACATCACTTTAACTATTTGGTAAACAATATCGATTTATTTTCCGATATCTACATTCTATTTCTAAAGGGAATGCATCAAGCATACAACCGGTGTTTTGTTCGCAGGTTTCTGTTGTATTGCCAGATACAATAAATGTACCAGAGGTAATTACGGATGCATTGAATGAAGACTGTGATTATTATAGAGTAGAAGATATTCATGTCAGTGAGTTGGTCAACAAAGATTTCATCGAAATATTTGTAAAGAGAGGTAAGTACGGTCCTCGTGACAGCTGTTGGCGTTGCCTTTGATTGAAATTTGCTCGTTTGAAATATATTAAAATCGAATTGTTATGAACAGATACTGGATTTGTAGCTTACATTAGTAATACATTAGTTGAAACTTTGGTTTATGTCGAGGTCAATGTAAACCAAGATTTTTCGTAGACTTTCGTTCTGCATTTCCATTTAAATTTCAGTATGCGGTGTTAAGACATACATTAGTACAGAGTACTATATGTAGTTTGAATTTGTGGATTGCTTCTAATTTTGAAATCTGCATATGGAATGAATGAATTGAATGTTTTTTATTTGTTTGTTTGCTTTTCTGAACTGTCAACAAAATCAGACGATTGCTTTGAGCAATATTCAGCGTTGATGTTAGTTGATGAGTAAGTGATGGAGAGAGCAGTAATTTAGGAATGTGACAATAGAAGTAGAACCTCATCCCTCCATCTTCATATATTATGTATGACAAGAGTGTTGGAGAAAATCTAAAGTAGTAAATGCACATAGTCATAAATATTGTCTCATTAGACCCTTAAGAGCAAATGATCATCAATCATCCAAGGTACCAACCACCATTGCTTATTATATAGTTAATATAACAAGTAATTAGTATGATCTGTGGACAAATTGCTTTTTCTCATAAGCCTTTGCTGAAGACTTAAGTTAAGGTTCATGGACCAGAGACAATTGACTGGTGACAGAAATGGTTGGCACATTTACCTTATAATTGCAATGTCACAGAATATCTTGTTTATCCTTTGATGAACCATTGGTAGTATCAACAATAATGAAACATACCACTGTTTCATACTGTTTAAAAAACTTGTAGATATAACTATAATTTTATATTATATCAAAATCTTACATATAGATGCTGATTAGTAATTGTATTTTAATCAGAAATATTTTGTATCATGAGCTGTTACTTTCATCTGTAGGAAACTAATGCTAGGAGAGTTATTACATGGATTTTCAGAATCGTATATTAATGGTATGTTATCTGACAGCATCAGGATAACCTACAACACCTTATGTATAATAAAAATTGTCCATATCAGTCACAGTTATTTTGACAGATGTGCAAAATGTGTCTTTGTGTAGTGCTAGCTAATATTTATTCATAAAGAAGTAAAAATGTATCCCCTTATTTATTCTACACTGCCAAATGTACAGTCCTAGAGAATGGCTGTACATTTTAGATAATTCATCTTCTGAAGTTAAGATAATTTTGATGATGGTTAATGTCATAAACTTTGACCATCTCAACCACTACTTCCTTTGGTAAGTCACATAAGGATGTTTAAAGAAAGAGTATGCAAAGTGAGTCTTTAAGGCTTCAGTATTATTATGTGTAACAGACAGTGAGTGTGTCTGAATGTAGTGAATTTTAAATAGACCTATTTATTTATCATGTTTGTAGAACCTTCACTATTACACCTGGTACTAAAATTGGTGACTGGAGTCTATATTTTTACTGATAAAGCTATTGTGTATAACATTTATTGCCCATGTTGGTTCTTCTGTTTTAAATATAGGACATCTAATAATCCTGAGCGATGGCACAAACATTGATACAGATGACTGTGTAGCTCTGATACCATCAGGGCATCTAGTCCTCAGTCTTAACAGACAAACTTATCAAGAACTTGGACTGGAAGGCAAACCTTCATTCTTCTCACGATCAAAACCTAATAGATATGGTAAGAGTTCATAAGGTATTACTGAGAATAATGAGAATTAAACCTTTACCACATATTTTTTCACAGTGTCTCATCTTATGTGATTTTTGCTTTTTTTTGTTGTTTTAAAGTTAAACAAACATGCCCACACAATTTGCACAGGGAAATGTTTGAGGACAGTTGCTACCTGTCTTAATAAATTTAACTGTATTGGGATTGTAACATGAACTTTAAACTACACCATGTTTTATGTGGTTCTTTAAATGTTTGGTAGATTAAGTAAAAAATATTACCACTGATTTAGAGGTCACTGATCGGAACAAATGACCACATTTTTTTTAAACGTCTTATGTCAGCATGTCCTCCTTGCTGTTTTGTGTAAAATGTTCCTTTATTATTTTTTAAGGAGAGATAGGCTTTATGATATCATCACATCCCCATGTTTGTTCTTTACCAATAGCTCTTTTGAACAACTTTATGGACCATATTTATTTCTAAAGTAGGAGTAACACTATCATCATTCATGCAAAATTATGATATTTTGTGCTCTAAATCTCCTGAATAATGAAATATCCATTGTTCAAAACATTTTGTTTTTTAAATAATTGCATTTGTAAATGGCAATGGCTGAAATCCAAAATAAAGTAATTAATAATACAGTAGCATTGCCAAGAAATGAAGAAAATTCTCTTCTTATTCTGATATATTGCAGAAATGTGTATGGTAGGATGATGCATTCATTCTGCCATCAAAACACACTACAAGGTTGCTGTATTTATCAGATCCATGATAATTTTGGAAACAGGAAAGTGGAATGCAGAATTGCTTTAAGGAGATGTTAATTAACCCTGTTTATTTACCATTGACTCATACTTACAGTAATAGTAAAGTTAAGAGATGTAGATTGCTATGAAGTGGTCATTCATTCTTTTTCTTTTTTCTTGCCACACATCTTGCCCCTTTAAGGTTTTATTACCCCTATTTATTTACTATTACTGAATATTATGCTAATAATAATATTAGATATAAGTTTTAAATTACAATGAAATGGGCAACATTAATTTTTTGTAGTCTTAGGAAGCATATTTCTGAGACTCCTCATTTTCTTTCCAGTTATGGTTTAAGTAAAGATACTGACATAAAAAACGTTTAAAATGCCTAAGAAAAAGCAACCTCTGTCCATGGAGAGCTTGGCTCTTCAGGCAGTTGGGCAGTTTGTGACAACTGTTGGTCGGAAAATGATCAACCCACTTGTCAGTATTGCTCGGCAAGACAGCTTAAGGGGAATGACCCTCATGCAGAGCAACTTGGATCGACTCAACGAACTCCTGTATGCTAGTGTACCTTGGTACCTGTATGACCAGATGGCCACCGAAGTGCTTACAGCCATAGCTGCTCTTATACAGGAAACAAAACAAGCATATGATGATTTTGAACCAATGACAATTTTTATTAATCAAATGAATATAGTTGTGACTCTGACAGAAGTAGCCATTCACCCCCATCTGCGGAACATAGACTTCTCACTTTGGCCAAAAATAATGCGTCATGTACTATACAAAAATCTGTATAGGATGACAGGTTTGGAAAAGCTGAATCTAGGATCTGGATCAGGGGGATGGAAAACTTCCGATATTGAGAAACTGACTGTGTGTGGTGTGTCATCCATGAAAAACTTGACATCACTTTGTCTGTGTTTTGATTGCACAGATCACATTCTCTCAGTTGTGGGGCAAAACTGTAGTAAACTACAATTTCTTGATGTAACAGCGTCACGTTCAGTAACAGATCGAAGTGTCAGCATTCTGGTAAACTGCAGGGAGTTGAAGGAATTGCACCTTTATCGTACTTCAGTCTCTTTAGAAGGCTATGCAGTTCTGTTGAAGGGACTTTCACGATTGGAAGATTTGGGTCGCTGTGATGAATTTGGTTTTATATTGGAACATATACGTTTAACTGAGGGTAATATTGGTCCATTTGGATTGAGAATCTTTCAGAGCAGAGATGTCACCACCTACCATCTGAATCTCCTAATTGAGATGTGTCCTCGGGTTACTCATGTCTCCATCTATCACGATGAACGAATTAGTGATCTGACAGTGTTGTCTGCCTTGGATGATTTGTGTGAACTTAAACTTCTCTCTTGTGATTTCTTCACTGACAGGGTAAAACAACTGCTGGAAGTGAAAGGCTATAATCTCACTTGGCTTCATTTAGAACACGTGGAAGAGATAGACCTAAATGCATTGATATATATCAGCCAATACTGTCCAAATCTTAAAAAACTTGCATTCTACAACTGTGAGTTCTTGGAACACACCTCATTGTCACTGAAAATGTTGCCTGTCCAACCATTTCGGTCTCTTGAAACGATAATGTGTGTAGCAGAGTGCAATTTGCTGCACCTTGAATTTCTGCTTTCAAACTGCTTGAACATCAGATTCATCCAATTGGGTTCTTCCACTGGAATTGGAGATGTAACAATGTCTAAAGTGCTTTCCAAAAATCCCATGAAGCACCTTGAAGAACTGAAGATTTTATACAGTGATAATTTAAGTATGCAAACAGTGCGTCTACTTATGACTCATTGTGACAATCTGAGAGTGTTGTCAGAGTTGGAAAGCTGGCAGGGAATCACTGAAGAGGAGTTGACAGAGTTTCGCAAAGAGCTGAAACAGAAGAATTTAGATCTTGACATTAGACCTACCCTTTCTTACACTTCAAACTAAGTTATTTACTATATAACTTACATGAGTTGACTGTAAATTATGAACATACATTTTGAAAGTGTCACGATATAATATTTTGCATATTTGCTTGAATTTTTCTATTTCAGTACCATAATTTATTTGATACATATTTTAAAGTATGGGAACTAGCCATTGTGACTGGGGTAGATAAGCATTAATTGTCATGGGAATACCAAAACATATAAATGGTCTTGTATTTTATATTTTGGGACTTATTGCCAAGAAATATGTTGGTCTTCCAAAGTTTAGTTTTTGTTCAACAATAACACCCTGCATTTTAGTAGAATTAGTCAATATATGGGTGTAAACTGGTAAATCCTGTCAGATTCTCAATTGTTATACTTTAACTGTATTGCATTTTTGTTTCTTCTGATTTGTTTATATTTTGCCAGTGTTATTGTGTTTGTTTAATCTTATCTTAATGTGACTATTCAATATTACGAAAAGTCTGAATGAATCAAGTGTCTTGTATCATAATAATCTTTTCAAAATGGATTGTTTTGTAATCAAGACTGTGATAACAAATACTTAAACACATTGTACAAAAATTATGTATAATCAGTAAACAATAAAGGAATATTTCTCCTGGATCTTGTGCATACCTCTACAGACTAAAGTTCTGCATTTACAACACCCTTCTCTCTCTCTCTCTCTCTCTGTTGTATGCTCATCATGCTTTCTTGAAGGTATTGTTTTTATGATGTACATTTACAGTGGTGCAAGTGGACCTCAAAGAGCAGTACTTCACACCAGGCAAGAAGTACTACAACAGAGTACAGCACTGCCTCAAGGAAAACTTGCAGCTCAAGCTGAACCTCTTAGTAGCATGGGATCCACCAGGTACATATTTTCACAATTAATCTGTTTATACTTAGGTAACAGGAAGCATATTTCCTTCAGAATTTTATAATAATTTAGTGGCAAAATTTGTGCTAATTTATGCTGATTTTTTAATTTGGACTGCAAACCAACATTTTTGAGTAATTTTGATTGGCATGGCGTGTGAAGAGGAAATTGTTGACCATATTAACTTTCATGCTATAACTGGTATATGTTAAAATTTAAGGTTGATGTAGACAGAAGTGAGAAAATAAATTTGACTAAAATGCAAGCCGGAGTAGCTGAGTCAGTATAGTGTCTGACTATGGGCTGAACAACTGGGTTTGATCCCTGGCAGGGGCATTCAGCCTGGCTCTGGAGCCCATCCAGCCTTTATCCAATGGCTACTACAGGGTTAAACATATCTGTGGTGTGATGCTGATCACTTCCCCCTTCCTAGTGCTGAGGTCAAGATTTAGTAGGCACTATAACACCCCTCCCTGCCCCCCAAGCACCTCTGGTGTAAAGTGGGACAGCTTTACTTTGACTAAAATATACAGTGGTATGGTGTAGTTAAATTTTTTCATTTATTAAACATATGAGTACACATATTTAACTGAAAATTGTTATTTCATTTGTTATATAAATTTTTAAAAAAACTTCCAACAACTGAGGAAATTTAGAGGATGTTGCAGTTACGAAACTGCAGAGAAGAGTTACAAACTGAAGTAGTTCCCAGAATATCAGTATATAGAACAAACATCTTATCTTGTAAATATTTATATATTTATTTTGTTAGAGGAGAAGATATGTCCTTCATCAGTGGCTGCATATTTTTCATCAAGAGGTCACAAGGTATTGCTGTGTCAGCCTCGATTCTCCAGGCAGGTTTCATACAACGTGAAGGTGCCAGAATTTTTTTTGGGTGATAACGGTGATGATGATGATGCTTTGGAACTTATAGAGTGGCTAGGAGCTTTCAGTATTGGAGCTGATCTGTGAGTATTATTCATTCTTAAGTTCATTTGGTTCATCTTATTCAGAATAGGGACCAATGGTGGGCTCCTCTAAACATGGTAATGAACCTTCATGTTCCATAAAACATGGGAATTTTTGACAAGTTGAGAGACTGTTAGTTTCTCAAGAAGGAATTCAGTCCACAGAGTTACTTTATTATTTCTTTAATATTGACACTCATACTTTAGATTGTATGCTGCAAGGATCTCTGGATTTACACAAAGTTCCAATAGCCTTGTTCACCTGGAAGATAAATTTTGAATTTTTATGGACTGGCTACTCATATTAATGTGATTCTCTAAAGTGTTTGTTCCTGTGGTAGATTCGTTATACCAAGATTATGTTGCATACTGTCCATTGCTTTAGGTATATTTGATGTTTCAGAAGCTGGCTCAACTCTTGGTTGTAGGTGAGTGGTGAATACCATACATTGGCAGATATTTATTTTTATTTTAGAGATTTGTAGCAGTTGTCTGAATTGAACTTTGCACCCTCTAAATACTAGGAAAATCAAAGATGGCTGTCTTCTGGGTTGTTGTACCATGTAGTCTGGTAGAAGTTTACCGACATTTCACAGGTCCTTGCTGCCTTCATCATCGCCCTGGAAGAAGCTGCATTATTGCTACGCACACGACAAATAGTTGTTATGAGGACCTTTTTGGTACAGAATAAAAGATGTTTCTATCAGTATGAATTTTTCAGGACAGTGTACCATTCATAACCCTGAAGTTCCCAATATTTGTACATTTCTATCGCTATATGGATGGTTTCCATCCTTAAAGTGTCTTCATAATTTCAAAGAATGTGTTCAGCATAATCTTTAGGTTTTGTTTTATACGATGACTACTGTGACTGTTATGAATTCTGCATAATAAGTGTTGTTATAAATCTTTGCAAATGTCAACATTGTTTTCCAGCTTGTCCTATGAGTATGTGGGTACAATGATCACTTGGATGTGTGATACTGAATTACTAGTTACCATATATTAATGTATTCTGCATTTAAATATTTACAGCATAAGTGTATATTACAGGGACTCTGGAGCTCCAGACAATTTTGTAAACACATACCAGTGTCCTCTGGAAACCAATGACGTTGGTGCAGCTGCACATCTACAATGGACAGGGTACTTTACATACAGTCAGATTCACAGACTCTTTGATAGACTGAGGTATGAGTATCATGATTTCACTGGTTTTGTTTTGTATTAGTTTATAGTTCATAGTATGTAATTTCATCAACAAATTGTAGGGCTTGAGGTTCTTATGGTGGTGTGTATGAAGATGGCTGTCTTCTGGGTTGTAGTACCATGTAGTCTGGTAGAAAATTACCAGTGTTTCAGAGGACCTTGCTGCCATCATCATCAGGGTGATGACATAAGATATACAGAAGACAGCCACCTTTAAGGCAATAGTGAGTCTGGGCAAAGTACATGCTGAAGTAACAAAAACATTGTTAGTTTTGTGCAAGTCTGGTATTTGTATGTGGTGGCATAATCTGCACATTGATGTACATCTTCCAGAGTTCATTCTAATGACATGTCATAGTACTTACATGATCATTAAGCTGCTAAGGGAAACAATCATTCTGTATGCCGCAATTTTCTCCCCTTCAGACAATATGTGCTACAAAGAACAAGTATTCCTTGGATCAGCCTGTATGTGCAAGGTTTTGCTGACAGTCCAGTTAGTTGGGGTCTCAAAGAACACCAGTTCTACACGAATGGTGACAATAACTATGTCCTGTTTCTACATCCCACGGGCAATTATTTGGCATGTTCCTACATAAGCCCTAACAAAAGGCCTAAGAGTAAAACAAAGAAATGATCCAGAAGATGTCAGCTGAAATGCTATGAAATCAATGTAAGTACTTTAATAAACAGATAATAGCATTTACAATTACTTCATGTTCACTTTTCATACATCACTTCTTTTTCTTGCCTTTACACCTGCCTTCATTGGGATTCCTCCTCATCATGGATATGATATCTGTACCCCGAATTCCAAGCATAGCTGATCTTGAATTTGTATCTCTGATTACAAAAGGCGAATAACCTGAAATGGAAGACATTATTGGCAAGACATATACACTGAATATAATATTCATTAGGAAACATGCTGCTATCCCATAACATGAATTATACTTGATATGTTCCATCTGCAAAACAAAAGACCAAAAATCATGGAATCAAACCTGCTGTATAGTCTGGATCTAGAGGATTGTTCTTGGTACGGGCAAGTCTTGAAGGTCGCTGATCTGGTATACGCTGGTCTTCACACAGTATTGGGTTGTTGGCATGTTTACCTCCCTTGGGTGTTGGAAGCGAGAACTGAAATATACAACGTAATCGTGTCAACTCATTTTCAACTGTCACCATGTTCATGAAACTATTACATGTTACATTTGTATCCCAAAATTTAAAGTTTCATATGCCAAGAGATCATATAACAGTAGAATAGAACATTTGTTCAGGTGTGTCATATAGTTACAAATAAGTGGTAAAGAAACACCCCTGAGTGCCACATACATAGTTTTTGAGACTTGTGACCTTTGAAGTGTTATTTAGACCAAAGTCTATAAATGTGTAAAATATGAGAATTAACACATCCATATACACTAACACACACCCACTAGTAACCCTATGGATAATGTCCTTGTACGTAACTCCCTTACTTAATTATCTGGCAGCTGAACTTGAATGTTCAACATCACTAATACCACAGACCACCATTTCACATGTTCCTGGGCCAGTTGCACCTATTTCCCATTCTCACAAGCTGTAAGATTCATCTTACTGTTTACCTTCCAATTTGCTTGTCATCCTAGTGGCAGCTGCTTCTCCATCTGAGTTGCATGTCCAGCACATTTAACAATCAGAACAATACTAGTTACTTGTATGTATTGAACAGACTAATATTTGAGTTAACTCACCCTCTTTCCTCGTGTTGAAAGTCGTTTTCTTGAAGAGAGATGGATCACTTGAGTACCATCTTCCTTCAGAGATACTGCCACCTTCTTCAAGGTTCTGTTTCCACAGTTAGGGCAAAATACCTTAGTCATGATACTAGTTGTCTTAAAGCAAGCATAACATCTTAGAATGAAACTTCGTAACTGCCGGATATGACGACCATCACTTGACAGAACATTGAGTCCAATCTGCTTCAGAACATTCTATGGGAAAAGAAAAGTAAACAAATAAAGAGTCGTGCACATATTTGCTATAAATTTAGGAACAAAATATACATGTATATAATATGCAGAAAATTATAGGTGCTGTCACAAAATGTATTTATTTATCTTACTTGCATTGCGAAGTCAGATGTGATACATGCAACCTTCACTGGTGCATTATCTACTTCAGAATTGACTTCTTGCTTCTTCTGAGCTATATTTTGGGGTGTAATCCAGCCAGACCCATCTTCAGCATCAGATGCATAATCACTTTCTGAGCAGTCTGAATTAATATCACTGCATTCCAATTCATTTTCATAGGTTTGTTCATGTATGTTTTCTTTAACTGGCACCAGTATATCATTTATAATGTCTTCATCAGTTTTGTTGCAGTCCAGAGAAGTAAGCTTTCCCAGTAGATCATTTATTTCTGTGTCGCAAGATTCATCATTTTCATCCGCATTCTACAAGAGAATGTAGTTAGAAATTTATGATATAATTTTAACTTCTGAAACACTGTTGGGTAAGATATGATTCCATAAAAATCATAGAAATAAGTGAAGTATGACGTTTGAGGTGGTTCTATGGGCTGTGACACAATGTGAGTATAGATGATGGTATTCTGAGAAGTACTTTTAGTTTTCGTGCCTTGACAAAAAGGGAATCATATGAAGCACAGAAATATGGATGATAAAACTTTTGGATGTAGGGGATAAAAAGCAAATTAACATGTAAAAGAGAGGGAAACTTAGTAATTACAAGAGAAGGCTAACTTTATCAAGGGACAGAATTCTTGTCAGCCAAATTAAGGGAAGACTGAACAGCGATATGATACAATATAAATGCCTAATCTCAGCTTAGGTGAACAGTATCATTAAATAATTTTTATACAAACCTTCTTGCTTGGAGCATAAAATCCTGCAGTGGCTTTAGATTCATCAGGTAAATGATGTATAAATGTTACTAAGCGATTAATCAGAGGTTCTTTCTTCAAGTGATCTGTACCAACTCTCTCTTTCTCAAGTTGGTAAGCAAGTGCCATAACTTTGATGTCAGTTGCTGATAGGCTTGGATAATCACCAGTTTTCTTAGAAAATTCTGTAACTAATATACGTGCATATTTATTACTTTAATATTAACAATTGGTGGAGTGGATTCACCTGGCTCTTGTAAACATGGTAATGAATTTTTGAGTTCATGAAAAATGCATGCCACATTCTGAGGCGACTGTACTATTTAAATCGTTCAATCCCACAAGAACAGAACAAAAATTAATGAAACTGGCCAGCACTATTTACAAAAGAAAACTTGAAGTTAATTATTAGTAAGAAACAAAGAGGCACTCTCAAATAAATATAACCAGGTGCTAAATGGTGATATGTCTTACACTAACTTATATCTGTAAATGATCTCAACTGAAACTTTCACAGATGGATTGTCTTGGGCTACATCGAGTACTCACCATACTGTATATTTTCTTGAAACACCGTCTTTACTTCAAGATCATACGGAAGAACAACCAGTCTTCTTATTTGTCGTTTACTAGTAATTTCATTTACAACTTCCTGGACAGTTGTAATTTGATTGCCAAGTTCCTGTAAAAGCAAACAAATCCCCTTTAGGGTCTGTAGTCCCTGTATGAAGACTTCATTGAATGAAAAGCGAATATGACTGGTACTTACATGAAGGGCCGTATTATTTATAAAAGCAGTTGTATCAACTACCAAAACTTCCACTTTAGGACTCATTGTAGCACTACAAGATATATTACAGTCGCATAACAAAATAATCTATCAAAAGACCTCGTGTCACCTCTTTACAAGATATATTTTAAACGATATATCGAAATCACGAATTGGAGTCGAAGTGTTCCATAATCGACTAGAATGCGATAGCTCGGCGTTGGCATAGAGTAATACCGGCAGTGAGATGACTATTCAATCCAGACAACCGGTAATCAGTTGTACTAATTTCTGTTTACCAGTAGAATAAACATCATGATGCATGCTGTGTGTGTTCCTGAAACCAGCGTTAACAGTTAACTGATTGAAAGTTTCTCCACTTCTGCATTAGAAATACGGAAGTGTATACTTACAGACTTCAAATGATGACATACATTTGTGTCGCCAGACTCCCACTCCCTGGGCCTTTTCCCATTTATTTGTTGATTTAGAAATCGGAAACTTTTAGCTAATTGTTCAGAATGATATAACAGCGTCTGATAGCTTTGAACTATGAGGTTGAATATGAGGAAAGTCCTTTATAATTTACATTAAAAATTCAGATCTTGTTAGGAACAATTTCCCTTGTAAAAAGACCTTTGCTGTAGTCGGCCAAATTATTTCCCCCGTCGAGTTGGAAGTATTAATTCGTAGGTTGTTTAACAACGCTGTACCAACTGCAGACATCGAATGTGATGGGAAGACAGCTGAAAAGGCTTCCAAAAACGACCAAACACTTTGCATTCACCCTGAAGATGGCAACTGCAATTCCTGTCGAAACGTTGGGTAATTCTCAACATTCAACGCGGCTCAACCCCGAAAGCTGAAGTTACGTAGTTTGACAGCTCCATTTTACTCTGGTCCTATTCCGCCCCATAAGACAATCCGTGCATGTGAACAATGATTAGTAATTCAGAGGATACCAACGAACACATTTAGTGAACAATATTACCAAAACCCAATTCTGGTATTGTGTTTCGAGACCTACTAAGGGAGCCCGCAGTGCTGACGACATAGTATGAAGCAAACAAGCGACTAGTTCTGATTGGAAGACTGGCCCAGTGTCTCGACCGCCGCGTCTGAGGCCGGTCGGTTGTGCGGGGAGAAAAGTTGGTGTTGCTTGTGTGTTTGTTCCAAGTGTACACTAGAGGTGACTGACATTCCACGCCATGCCATAGGATAAAACTTCATCTTGGGAAAAATCTAACCACTTCTTTAGTAAGTCTCATCAACAAATAGTAAAATTTTTAGTAATAAATATTAACGCTGTTGTCACAATACAGTTTAATTAAACTGACCGAAGATGCAAAACATAGAACTAGTCTTTTTACTGCATTACAGATATCACCTAACCTTTCAGTTTCATACAAAGTCATTTTGGACTATAGTATCACTATCGAGAAGAAATGTCTTCATAATCGAATATATTATTATAAATAAAGTAGAGAAGAAAACAAATTAAAACAAATAATATCATTAAAAATCCAGAAATACACACGTAACGTTTAAAGAAAAAAATGTCCGGGAAGTGGAAGGTGGTAACAATACTGTCAGCGAGGGGTCATTTTATAAACGCCAGACACAGCGGCTTCAGAAGAATATTCCTTCAGATACGTGTAGTAGGACTGCAGAAAATTGTTCTATACACACGTACGTATTAATATATTCCATGGATCCATAAGCTAGAAAAATTACTGTAGGATATGGAATAAGTCATAAAAATACAGTTCGTATATGCAAGTGCATTTCAACCTATCATAAACTCTTTAACATATAATACGAGTAAATAAAGATATTACATAAAGTAAATAACTTTTGAATAAATCCACACACATGCAGGAAATGAATTATATAACCTATTTACACTATATAAAGGCAAGAAACCCTTTAAAACACTTGAGTAATTTTCAAACAATAGAAATTCATCAACAGAGTAAAACGAGTGTGTATTCGAGCACTTTTTTAATGCATCTTTAAATTGTGACTTTCTATTCATAAGATTCTTGAGACTAGATGGTAGACCATTGAAAATTTTGATGCCAGTAGAGAATGCACTTTTCTGGAAAGCTTGAGAGATTGGCAATTTGTCTATGAAGCTGGTACTTATTCATTGCGTTAACATGGTGTACAGCGAAGTTTTTTCGAAAATGTTCTTGGTTATTCACAACGAAGTTCATTAATGTGAATTTGTATTCACATGGAAGAGGTAAGATCTTGAACTACTTAAATAGACTTCTACATGAATTTCTAGCTTTGACACCACCCATTCTAACATTTTTCTTTTGTAAAGTGAATATCGTTTTGTTGTTAGAAGAATTCCCACAGAAATTATTTCTTACTTCATTGTATAATGAATATAGGCTGATCTCAGAGTGACGGTCAGTGTTACTGACATGCTCCCTTTAACTTTGGAACCATTTGATCAGTACGATTTTTCCAGTTTACGTGGTTATCAATTTGTAAATTAAAATATTTCCTTTTTACTGACTCTTTTGTATACTTTCCATAACCAATACTTAAGACATATTGTGGTTAATTATTTATTATAAATGTTATTACATTTGTTTTATCTAGATTTAGGGCCGGCTTGTTAGCAGTGAACCATTGTCATGAAAGATAACTGTTTGACATTGTACAGAAATTATCAAAATTTTTAGTAGCTGTTACGACGCTTGTGTCATCAGGGAATATTATGGGTTTTGATAAGTTATTTATTATGTAAGACTTGAGGTTCTCACAGCGGTGAGTATGAAGATTTCTGTCTTCTGGGTTATTTATTGTTGGAGGAAGGTCATTTATGTATATTATGAAAAGCAAAGGCCCTAGAATTGACTCTTAGGGAATTCCATGTTCTGTTGTTCCCCAGTTAAAAAAAATTCTGAGTGTTATCGGGAGATTTTATTTTAATCTTCTTTTCTGTCTATTAGATTGAATCTGAACCATTTTTCAGCTTTTGCTTGACTGCCATAAAAATGTAATCTAATTAACAAAATGTAATTATTTACACAGTCAAAAGCTAAATCACGGAATATTCCTCCAACAATAATTTTTAGGTTAATAGATTTTTAACCCAAGTTCTGTTAGTTTGAATGATGAATTTTCAGTGGGCATACCTTTCCTGAAACCAAAATTGTTGGGACCAGTATGTTGCTAGTATGCATGTGAAGGTTTAACCTGTTGTACGTAACCTTCTCAAGTACTTTAGAAGAAATAGTTAATAGTGAAATTGGCCTATGGTTTAATATAATAATACTGTGACTGTAGATGATGATTCTGATAATTACTTAATTTCCTAATATGTGTAAAGAGGGATTAACATATAAGAGGCGGCCACTGCAAGGACGCTATATAAGTACGTGCGAATTTAAAACAAAATACGCAAACACATACACAGTATACAAGAAGTATAAATAAAATCCTGCACGGAATATGAGAAATTACATATTGAAGCGTAACCACGTGCGTGTTCATATAACCAGTTAAAATTAAACGAATTAACGAAGTATCAAGGGAGAACTAAAAAAACAAAAACAAAAACACGCAAAAATATAAAATATTTACTGCGGTAAAACACCTAATTGTGCATTTAATACATTGCTTACAGTGAAAGTAGAAAAAATGCCGTAACGCGTACACATTAATCTAAAATAAACCGGTAATATGTATTTTTTTAAACGTTGATAACAATTAATGGATATTTGTACTGAATGATGATATGATGGCAGACAACACTTCGAAGTATAGAAATCTCCATGTGGATTGTTCATTATGTTAAAAATATTATACATAGCCTTTGTTGATGTCAGCAAAAGCTTTCAATTAGTAATTATGCAGTTTTATGTTAAATTTGTCCGATGTAACCCAGAAGCTTCAGGCCGCAGTCAGCAGTGACTGACGCACGCAGAATGTGCTGGTTAGGTTTATGATTTTGCCCCGTACAAAATTTCCTTCAGGTTTCCCTACCAAAATGTATGCTCATATTATCTCTTGTAATGTTACATGACCTGTCCATCTTATCCACTTTTATTCTGCGAGGAGTCTTAAATTATGGAGCTCTCCATTACACAAATTTTCTTCTGTCCCATGTTACTTCGTGCATTTTAGGTCCAAATATTCTCCTCATCCGGCCATAAAACAGGAACGCAGGCCAATCTTATTTACGACAATTAAGTACTATGTATTTATTAAGGCTTACAACTGGTGAAGGACGGATAAGAATGTGCGATGTAATGGTTCATTTTAACTTGGTTTGCTGCAGTACGCTTGGATTGAACCGGGATTGAATGCGGCTCGCATTAGTAATGACGGATTAAAGTCATGGTACGCATCAGGTAATAAGTCCGTCTGGGTTGAGAACTCTTTGTGTCGATACTAGTCTTGCGACGCCATTTCTGAGACATGGACAGCAACAAATACACTCATATATTCAGACTGCTAATACCACAGTCTGACCTTAAACGTGATTCTGAGTCGGCCATCATCTACCCTCATAATATATCCTCGGATGTCCAAACAGACCACTTGGCGCTTCGGACGGTAGACAATATGTTCGTCGACTCGTGGCGTGATGTAGTGATTAATACGTTTCATATTTCAGAGCGCCCGGTTCGAATCTCGGCCCGGAGAGCGGTTGTTCTGAAAGGTTTTTCGCTGTTTTATTCAGTCCATCCAGATAAATGTTTGGACAGAACGGAAGCCAGTAGGTCACGACAGCTTCCTTTCACACTCCTTCCCCTTAATAGTAGCCTACTCAGTCATTCATTTAATGCTATGCAACATCTGCCGTTGAAAAGGCGTCTTTAAATAAACCAAGAATACATTCGAATCTCATTAGGACTATCAACTGTCGCGGTAGATGTGGGACCTGTGTAACATTTCGTAACATGTTAATTTTTTGTCGTGAGGAGTTATTAGTTCCCGGACTAGCCCCCAAACTAAACGACCATCCCTTATCGACTGTCCGTGACTTCCTATTCAATACAGACTTTTCGAAGCTGCCTTCCGTATCTGGAGGCTTACCCCATTTGTAACCTGACGTCGCGCCATGCTGTGGTGAGAATGGACCAAATTTACGAGGGACACGAAAAATAAATTTGTCTTTATTGATTCTAGAAACATTCCGTGTCTGCGATGAATTAATTTCAAGGCCAGCGTGGTGTGAAATTCGCAAATGAAGCATCTGGGAGGAAGAAAATGATG